ATGGAAAAATTCCTTTACTTCGAAACTTAAAGAACTGCCTACCAACTTTTTATTAACATATTTTAGTATGGGCGGCTATACGTACCTCCCGGCGCCAATTTTTTTATTTAGTCCGTCAAAGTCTCGGGGTAAGAACTTTTTTATTTTATTTTCGCTTACATTCTGATAGATATATATCTGTAAAATATTGAATATTTGTTTTTTTGAACCACCAGAATCATTTAATTCTTTATTATCAGAATATAAACGAAAATAAAATAAAAAGGTTTTATATTCCGGGCCGGTCTCGAACTCTAACTCTTATTTACAGTACTAGAATTTAAAGGACTAATAAAAAATATAGGATCTTGTTTCAATGCGCAGTAGTGAACGCAACGTTTACTGGCAGCCAGACGTCCCGCACGCTGTTATAGAGAGCATAGTAAAAGATATATCAAAGACCCAGATGTCTTAAAATATTTGTTTTCCCGACGTTGCTAGCTCTCGCACCATCAGGAGTTCTGATTTTAAACTACTTACATACGTACTTTAGTTATATTTTTTTTGAAAAATAAAATAGATACAGGCTGTTATTTTAGGATCTGTTCTTTTACTGCTGTTAGTTAAATATCACTTTACAATAATTGTTACTTCCAAAAAAATTACAGGTTTAAAAATAACAGTTCTAAAAAGAACAATGTTCGAATCCCAGCGGGAAATTTAAGTTCCAGTCATCCCGGAATATGTTGCCATAGTTGGCAACAATGAATTGAAAAATCGCGCCCACGATTACGTAACTAAAAGTTTAATTGGTATCAAATATATATCATTGTCATTCATTCTCATAGTTCTAAATATAATTTATATATAAGTAATTTTATTTTTTATATTTTCTGTATTAAAGTCGTGGACGCGTGTAAAACGTATCAGCAACATCATAAATTTTTATAGCGTCCACTGAAAAAATCGTCTAAATTTCCTTTTCAGCCTTGTGCGCCTTTTCACGGTCGTTTGTGCGGAAAAATTAACAATTCGATTTTCGTGATAGATGGAGCGCAATAACGTCCACTTTATTATCGGGAGCAGGTTTTTAAAGCTAATTTTGCTAAAAACCATACGACATTTTTCATTCAATATTTTGAGATATTTCTCGTAAAAGGAAACCGCGAATTTAAACATAATATATTTTTTACGTAAACTATACAAGCTGAGTCTTCACAAATATTTTTGGGGTGGTATATTTCGACCCCAGGACCTCAGGATTTTCTTTCTTATGGAGTCCTTATTTCCCGATAAAGAAAAACATGGGAGATTTTAAGCTTCGGCACGAAGACCTTAAAATAACGTGAAACTTAAAAGTCGTGAAACTTAAAAAAATAAGCGTTCGCCATTTAACTGTAAAACTGGCTAGGTATTTTTACACAAATGAGGAAGGAAACTAAAGATAAAAGATTATACTATATCCGTATTGTAGCACATTTTTAGACAACTTCTTTATTTTTAAGATTTTGATGATCAAACATCAACAAAATATTTCTTATGTTCGGACTAAATTTTCTCAAAAATAAAGCCATAATGAGGAAGATGCATACAGGGTGTTTCAAAACAAATGCGAAAAACTTCAGGGGGTGATTCCTTGTTCAAAATAAAGGGTAGTTTGCTTCATAAACGTTGGGTCAAAAGTCAACCATTAGGGAGATATTGCGGTACAAATATGGCGGAAAAATAATGTTTTTATTTTTTATCTTGAAAACGAAAAGAGATAGACTAATAAAATTTTATGGGAGCATTACTGTTATGAAAACACACTTTCTGGTATTTTTTTCACTTTTTTAAAATGAGTGGAAGGGGTTGAAATAAACTACCCCTATCATTCTTGAAAAAATAAAATGTAAAGCATTACATGTCAGGACAAAAAACATTTTCTGATAAAGAATCTAGTCTGCTGTAATTTTTTTAGGAAAAAATCTAGTCGGCCGCTGTTACTTTTTAGGATGTTCCTAATATTATTTTATTTGACATTACTCTACTGCAATACGTTATTATCTAGATGATTATTATTATCGTTATTATCACTAGATTCTTAATCTAAAAATGTTTTTTGTCCTGACATGTAATGCTTTACATTTTATTTTTAATTTCCAATCGGTGAGTTTTATCAAAAAATACAAGAGATAAAAAAGTTTCTAAACAAACTAAACTATCCAAATTAATTTTTTTGCATGTGTTTGATAAGATTTTTCTTTAAATTTCGTTAACAAGAATGATAGGGGTAGTTTATTTCAACCCCTTCCACTCATTTTAAAAAGTAAAAAATTACCTGAAAGTGTGTTTTCATAACAGTAATGCTTCCATAAAATTTCATTAGCCTTTTCTTTTCGTTTTCAAGATAAAAATAAAAACATTATTTTTCCGCCATCTTTGTACCGCGATATCTCCCTAATGGTTGACTTTTGACCCAACGTTTATAAAGCAAACTACCCTTTATTTTGAACAAGGAATCACCCCCTAAAGTTTTTCGCAATTGTTTTGAAACACCCTGTATATTTTATTTTTCGCCAGAAACTGTTCAATTTATTAGAATAAATATGTGTAAATGCAAAAAAAAACTTTTTTCTTGAAAGCAGTACCACAATTTTATAAAACGGGCCATTAAAATACTATGGATAACGCAAACGACGCCTCGCGAATTGAAACGATATTCTATTGGTCTGACGTCACCCGCCGTTCTCGTCGACGCGTGATGGCGAGCAGCAGCCAGACGTGTTCCGTTTATGTACGTATTTAGGTGGCGTACAAAGACATTTCTGTTGCTTTTAGCGTTGATTGAAGGAGCTTTTATGCGTTTTTGTGCAGTTATTATTTGTATGTGTTGTGTGTTCTGAGAATTTTTTAAGTAATGGCAGATTCCGGGTTTGTAAAAGCACAATCAGATAACTTGCCAACAGTCGATGCTTTTATGTTGGCTGCTTTTATAAATACAAATTCCCAATTTATTGGTGCTGAGTTACGAGGAAAAAACAGAGAGGTATGTAACATTTATTCTTTGTAGTACTGAAGCATATTTAAGTATAAGTAGGTACCTACTGTTACGAACTTTTATATAGTTATAAATTAATGTTATAAACTTATTTGTCAGATCAGGTACGGAGACGTATGGAGATAATGCTGTAGGTTATGTAGAAGTGAAAAGAGACAAAAATATTTGTTTAGTATGTTGAAAAATAACTCCAAAGCATAGCGTGAAAAAGAAAGTTTTTTTAATATATTGACACCTCCTTACCCTTGTTATTTTTAAACATTGTTTTTTTTACGAAATTATAGGAAATAAATTGTTTATCAGTAATGAAAATATTATACAAGGTGTCCCATAAGCAAACGCCAAAATTAAGTTACTTTTTTAAGTGAAACACCCTATATATTTTTGGATTCTTCGGAAATTTCTAGATATTCTAGATATATTTCATGTATAATATCCTATACCTATCTTCAAATGTTCCTTGAAATATTGACAGTTGAAAAGCGAAAAATACCTACAATTTTCTGCACCACCTTTTTTGAGACACCCTGTATAACTAGAATTAATTTTAAAAGAGAATATATGAAAAACCATGCAACTTTTTTATTTAATGTTTTCTTCTAAAACTTGCAGTTAAGGCTGTATGTGGGTGTCAAAATATAATGAATAACCCTGTACATTCAAATTTCATATACCTATGTAAGACAATATACATAAATATATGAACAAATATATACATCAAAATGATCTTCACAACAATAAATCGTAAAAATAGAGGATAATTTAACGTTTTGCTTTTCATCTCTTATCATGGCCTTGGACCATTTTTTTCTGTTTTCGCTCATCCATTACTATTTATAAATATCACGAATTACTCTAATTATGTATTAATTAACACAAATAACTAAAATTTTGTCTCGGATTCAACAGCGTTTAAAAGCAAACTGTGTAAAATAAACACGCGTCTGGCTCCACTCAACCAGAAGAACGGCGGGTGACGTCACAGCGGCAAGGCGCGGTAGAGAGCGTTTGCCCGGCCATTTAAATTAACAATATTTAGTTATTTTATATTAGAGGCATTTCTTAACCGATATCAACGATTTTTTTTGTTCAATTTGTAATTATATGAACTATTTTTTAAAACCATTATTTAAAAACATGCATTTCCTCATATAGATTGAAGTTTTGTCATTACAGTAATATATATTTTATATGGTTTTATAACAAATTGCTCGCTATTTTATGGCAAATGCTAAAGCTCTGCAAACCTTAATCAAAGCACGTGTGTTTGGAATTTTGGGTGTGGCTTAACACAACAGGATCGGGCTAAGCCTTAAGATGCGTTCACACCGGCTGTGAACGCACCTTAAGGCTTTTTAACATGTACTTTTGAAGTGTATTTTTTTAGCGCGCACAAATGTATATGTTAAAAAAATGATTTGGGCAGCGCGGCGCGGAGCGGCGCAGCCGGTGTAAACACGCCTTTAGGCAGATTTCTGAAATATATATTTTTTTCGGCCACACACCCGCTTTACCCGACCCCTGAGAGCGATCCAAAATACAGCGTAAAAGACTCTTAATACCTTTGTTTGAATTATAATTACTATTAGCTTATCTCGAAGAGTTTTTGGGGGTTTCTATGATTTTTTAAATCCAGTATTTCTTCTGTCGATGGAAATCATGTCGATGGATCAGCTTGGAAACTTGGAAAAACCAAAAACACTTTCTAAGCAGTGAAAGTATTTTGGTGTATTAGTGGTGGTAATTTAGTGTTTTATTTTGCTGATTTTGCTATTGTAACCTCAAAGGTTCTAACCCCCAACTGTAATCGAATATGGATATAAAAAAATATAAAAAACTTTTTCCTAAAAATACACCGTGAAAATATTGAATCTGCAAGAGACAATATCACATTTTTACCTGGTTTTAACGGGTGATTATCACAGATTTACACAGGAAGAATTTAAAGTTTCCATTTTAATATTTGATTTTTTTGTTGCAGATGTTGCTGTGGACGCACGTTGGAGCAACACAAATTCCTGACAGACCCGAACCCCATGGCCCCGGGGGACATATGGTATCCGAGCCGTTGCACAGTGGCGCATCCTACCGACGCCTATGGAACTCTCGAGTTCCAAGGCGGACCTCATCCCTCCAAAGCACAAGTAAGCATCGTCGTTGGAAACAGGAAATCAGTCAATCATTCAAATATTGCCGTAAAGAGTTTTTTAAAGATCTGTGTATGATAAATACACATTTCAATTTTGAAAATTTTTAAAATTATTAAAGCCAATTTTAATTCTTTAAGCCATCGCTGGCGCCGTTTTATTTCGATCATACGGTACAAAGAGAGTATCTAAATATGTGAGCGAGGCTACACCATAAACACCATTATTGGAAATGGTTGAATAAACTGAAAATGATGATGACATTTATTTTTTATGTTTTTTAAAGGTATGGAAATAACATAAATTTAATAATATACAAAATTATATACAGGGTTGTTGACCACATACGACACGGAGTATTGTAGCTAAACGATGAGATTTTTACAAATTGTAAGTTTTGGGTTCGATGAAGGACTATTAGAGGTACAATTTAAAAATAATTTTACAAGATACAGAGTGTCCCAAATAAGTAAAAAATATCAAAGTTGTATTTTTTTAAATGGAACACCCTGTATATTATTACATTTTTAGTTTCTACGATTAAAATAAAGGTAAATTTCATTAAGGTTTATTAACTTAAACCTTACCGTTTTTGAAATATTTTCAATTTTGTGAAATTGCAGTAAAAATTTTAAGGCTTCATTTCTCCAAGGGTATCAAAGTTTTTAATACTAAATATTTACTGAAGTTTATTTACTGGTCAGTTATTGTGTTGCAATAATAAAAATAATACTACCTTATACAGAGTGTCTAAAAATTTATTTTAAACAATTATTAGCTTCAAACGGCAATAACTTGTTTAATTTAAAGGGACACCCTGTATATTTTACGAGAATCAGATGCACAATTTAATTGTCTATCAAATTATATTATACCATTTTTTACCTATCTCTTTAAGTTTCCGTAGAAAATGCATTTTCTTGTAATTTAGAACTTATTTATCAATATACCCATGGACTATTGACATTTTAGATTATTTTTAAAGATGTACCAAATTTTTGAAGAGTACAGATACTAATATTGTCGATATAATTCGTTTATTTCATTTAAAAATAAAAAAAAACTGTTTAAATATTTGTTAAAGAGGATCAATTAATATGATTCCAGTATTCAAACTACATTAACTGACTGTTTGCGTTGATTAATAATAATTGCTCCAAATACTAAAAAACTGAATTTTGTATGGGCATTAGACAGTGTGATAAAGTAACACTTTAAAAATGATATTTCATTTTTTAATAAATGCTTATTTATAACAACAGAGACTTTAATTTGATAACTTATTATTATATTGATTTCTGACTCAAATCCACATTTATTTATAATAATTTATTAACGAACACAATTAAGTATGTAATTAATTAGTATATGGACGGAAATAATGGTGTTATATTTAATTAATGGTATACTCTTTTATAAAGATTTAAATAGTTTTCTTTTTGCATACAAATGGGCTAGTAATATTACTAGTCTGTACATTTTGTATATTTGTTGCTTTAAAAACATGTCTAAACATCTAAAATGTCAATATTCCATGGATATATTGATAAATGAGGTCTAAATTAAAAGAAAATGCATTTTCTACGAAATCTTGAAGGGATAGGTAAAAAATGGTATAATACAATTTGATAGACAATTTAATTGTGCATCTGATTCTCCTAAAATATACAGGGCATTCCATTTAAATTAGAGAAGTTATTGCCGTTTGAAGCTAATAATTATTTAAAATAAATTTTTAGACACTCTGTATAAGGTAGTATTATTTTTATTATTGCAACACAATAACTGACCAGTAAATAAACTTCAGTAAATATTTAGTATTAAAAACTTTGATACCCTTGGAGAAATGAAGCCTTAAAATTTTTACTGCAATTTCACAAAATTGAAAATATTTCAAAAACGGTAAGGTTTAAGTATAATAAACCTTAATCAAATTTACCTTTAATTTAATCGTAGAAACTAAAAATGTAATAATATACAGGGTGTTCCATTTAAAAAAATACAACTTTGATATTTTTTATTTATTTGGGACACTCTGTATCTTGTAAAAATATTTTTAAATTGTAGCTCTAATAGTCCTTCAACGAACCCCAAACTTACAATTTGTAAAAATCTCATCGTTTAGCCACAATACTCCGTGTCGTATGTGGTGAACAACCCTGTATAATGGTATAGGAAATTTGGAAAAGTATAAACGTAATTAACCATTTTAAAGCGAGAAAAAAAATATCCAAAAGTTCTGATCTGGGAAGAAACATTTTGAAATACATGTTAGATGTAAAGTAATAAAAAGTAAATACAAATTTAAATAGTTAATTTAAGCGAGTATCTTGTAAAAATAACGTTAACAAAGTTATGGAAATTTATCCAGCGTATATTTATACAGCAGTGTAGGTAATTTAGAGGAAGGTCTCCTGAATCCGGGCTTAATTACTGGAGAAGGCAATCAGGAGGCAGCCAGGCGCACGCTTTTCGCTAATTAATTCGCATTGAAAGCTAATCCGGAATCGTCCGAAGGCGACAGTGTTAAGAGGGGGCCCATCATCACGGTGGAGCAATAACGCTATATGCCGTGTTTCGGGTATTTCGATTGAATAAATAATAATTGATAATTATTGATTTTTGAAGAATTATGTTATAGATTAGATTTAAGTGTTAAAGTGATGACTATACTGAAAAAATGAATTTGTAAATTTAAAAATCTAGGGATATCATTTTATTAAAATTAAAAATAAATGTTTTGAATAAACAACCACATATTTCTAGGCCGATTCTTTCTACTTCGATTGAAACGAAGTAGTCACACTTATTATTTCTAAATTTCGCATATTGCAGAAGTTTTTGTGCATTTTTTGTCGAATGTATAAAAAGCACCTAGCATCAATTGTTCGAATTTAACCTGTACTGGCTATGTTTTTATGATAACTGGCCAGAATTCATTCAAATAACTCTGTTTAGTATTAAACGACATTATGGAGCGTAGGCATCTTAACAGAGACGAAATGCTAAGGGCTATGGGTATGCTTGAAGCTGGAATGCCCCAAATCGACGTAGCTAGAGCATTAAATACAACGCAAAGTGTAATATCGCGATTAAATGCACGCTACCGTGAAAGTGGTGATGTTGCTGAAAGGCACAGAGGGCGACATCGCATTACTACTCCTCAGCAAGATCATTTTTTACAATTAAATGCTCGACGCCGGCCGTCTCTTACAGCACCCGAGCTTAGTTTAATTCTCCAGGAAACACATAATGTAACAGTTAGTCCTGACACTATTCGCAATAGATTAAGAGAGGTCAACTTAAGAAGCAGACGCCTCTGGAGAGCTCAACCCTTAACGAGAGAAAATCGAGAGGTACGATATTTGTGGGCTCAAGATCATGTTCAGTGGTCGAATGAACAATAGGTCAATGTTCTCTTCACGGACGAGTTACGCTTTGGAATTCATCTGGATTCGAGGAAGGCTTGGGGAATGGAGAGAACCAGGAAATTTTATTTGGTTGGATCATGTTCATGAAGTGTACCCTTATCAAGGTGGAATAATTATGGTCTGGGGAGGAGTCCAGTTAGACCGAAAAACCGATCTCGTTTTTCTTGAAAGGTTTCTAACAGGAATCACATGCCGTGATTTAATTCTTGAGCCTGTCGTGTTACCATATGCCAATGATTGTGGGAGAAACTTCATTCTCATGAATGACAATGCACGGCCTCATACAGCCAGAGTGGTAAGTGAGTTTATCAATGCTCATCAATTAAACATCTTACCCTGGCCGGCACAATCTCCTCGCCTCAACCCCATCGAGCACGTATGGGACGCGGTCCAAAGAAGAATTTTGAGAATGGGTATGCCTCGTGAAACTCGTAGGGATCTCGTTCGGGCCGTGAATGCAGCGTGGCAGGCCGTACCTCAAGAAGAGATCGACAACCTGATCAGGTGCATGGAGAGACGATGCGATGTAGGGCTGTAATGAACAGTAGAGGAGGCTATACCCTTTATTAATTAAAAATGGTTTTATCTTTTTCTTTTAATTCACAATTTAGAGTAAAAAAAAATTTGGGTATTTTTCTGAGTTCAATAAATATCAAGGTAAATTTGAAAATTTCGGTAAATTTCGCTATTTTTATTTACAAAACGTCCTTTAAACAATTTGTTTATTTAAATTTTATTATATTAGAAATGCAAAAAATAAAATTACTGAAGATGGCTCGATAAAATTGTAATATCCCTAGACTTTTCCGGTGTGTTTATTTAAAAAATGTGTATCTCATAGTAAATTTACCTATTCATTGTAAATTTATCTTTTAAAATCGCCAACTTCTTGTACTATTAGCAAATTTCCAATTTTACTTTTGTAAATTTTGTGACGTTTGAAAAAAATAGGTTTTCTTGTACACTTAATAACCAATTTAGCGATCTACGTAGATTTATTTGTCTTGGAGCTATCTGATGGTACGAGAGAACTGGAATAATGTTATTCGAAATTGAGTAATTTGCGGCTCGACACAGCATGACGTGTATTGAGGTTTCCCTCGGTTTGGCCCGGGCATTTATAATCAAATGGCATTAGGTTTAATAAGCATGCGGTTCAGTCAAGGGTTATTTGTGAAATAGACACCATCGACGTAATATACTCGCTAGGCTATCTCTTACACTTTGCGAACGAAATTTACAAAGATTTTCTTACATATTTTAATTTTTATGATTTTGCGTCAGTCGATCTTTGCGAAAAGAAAAAAAATAACCTTCACACTTCTATAATCAAGTCGATGTATTCCCTTTGCTTATTCTACGAGGCTGGGCTGAAAAATAACTAACTTTTTTCGCCAAAACTCCATTTATTTCTCAACGTAAACCCCGTAAAGCTGTATACACTTTGTCCAACGATTCTCCAATTTTTCGATGCCCTTCGAATAATACGATTTTTCGAAGTCCTTAATAATCGCTGGGCGCCAAATCTGGGGAGTATGGCGGATGAGGAACCAATTCGTAATGCAATTCATACAGTTTTGCCATTACGACTGCACATTTATTCGCCGGTGCATTGTCCTGGTGGAAGAGCACTTTCTTCTTCGCTAA